CGGACCTAGCTACGTAGAAAACATGACACAATATTCTTTCAGATATCCTGAGCGAATAGGGCAAAGTGAGATGTTGCGACATGTGATTTCCTGAAACGTTAGATTGGGAACTATCAGGCCGTTTAAAATGGCGAGGATAAACAGTCAGCTATAGGGGCAATGAAGTTTAGATTATTTTTACCGATTTCGAAGAGTAGCTTGACTATTTTTTAAATCTATAAATAGTTGGACGAAAGCAACGCGTGTTTATATCGGAATGTATTTAATTATACATCTTAGACATAGCCTCAAGACGGTTTCCAACCATAACAATCTCGAATAGACGAAATAATAACGCTTATTCAGTGAAACAGCACCCATTGGCGTATCTTAGTCTGAATGTACCTAGAGGCGTAAGAGGCATCCGACTCACTCCGAGCTCCAAACCACTAGGGAATAGCTCATAACGGATATGGGATTCTCAGATTACCACTGTAGTCAACAATTATGTCTCTGGCAGTAAATCGTGTCTGAGACGACCCTTCTCAAATGTTGCGGCTGATGCGGTTCCAGGGTTATGAACGTTTTAACGGGAAGTACCATGAAAATTGCCCTGCTAGGTGTAATAGCCTAATGCACAAACACTGGTAATATACTTCATACATATCTGTTCACGTTGTCAGATATATACCCTGATCGTCCTGCAATTGTTTCTATGGAAGCACCATAGAGGGAATTTAGTATGCAGGAAACAACCAGCTTTTGCAAAAACTGTACAGCGGATTAGAAATAAAAGTGGTTAATTAAATGGTAACAACTGCAATTATAAGTAACATAATAGTATTTTTTTAATTTTCCTATATATTTATGTGTGTATATACAGATCATTAGATAACACGTCAAGAGCATCCGATCGGATATAACGGATAATTTAAGGAAATTTTCCATATGCTAAAAGCGTTATCCCTGACGATTATATTCATCCATCATAGCTACTGTTCATCACGATTATGGCTAAGCTTCGGATCCTAAACCGCCAAATAGTTCATCTGAAGCAATTCCTTTCTCTATTCGCAAAAAGCTCCGTGTAGTAAGCATGCATCAAGCGATACTGGTAGGTATAAATACGAAAAAATCAACATTTGAATTGAAGATAAATATAATGAAATCAATTAAGCTGACAACCGGCCAAAGTACCCAAAAATGAAAGGGCTCAAAATAACCAAAAAGTTCAAAAAGGCTAAAAATGTTTAAATGACTACGTATTAAAGTTTATCTGGACGACTTAATTGACAGCTGATATTTCTTTTCCGTGTCAAAAATCTATGTGTACCGACAATGACTTTTTATGCAATTTTAATAAATTTCTAAACCCGATTGTAGATATTCCGGTTTTGTCCCATCTCACTGGGGGGGGGGGGGGGTCGTTCAGTGCGGTAGTAACTTATGTAAACTCGAATACCAAATAGGACGCATTGTTGTCCGTCATGATGAATTAAGACAACTGTCTCTCGTTCATAGTCAAGTATAGCGGATGAACGCATGCCCGTTGCGCCAAAATAGGTGTTATATATATGCATATATGTTAATAGTGTTATTGAAATCTATACATAACTTGTACCTTGTATATCTAAAATTGGTACAACGGAGTGTGAAGTTTTGTATGCATCTGTGTTTCAACAATGGGCTGGCGCTTGTAAAGTAGTATTAAAGAAACTGCCTCGAATAAACCAGTCTGCGAAACGGCTTGTTGAGACTCACTGAAAAACATCAGATGTCTACCTTTTATTTTGTTGGGGCATAGATATTTTCCAGATTGCATGTATTAACAATTCAACCACAATCGATCCTTCTATCTTTTGGTTATGATAATAGGGAAGCAACAGAACCTACTGAGCGGCCTATTCGGCGGCAAACATTTTCCAGCCTTGCACCACCCCAGCTCCGTACCCTCGGAGACCCGTATTTTGAAGTTTGAGTCGTTTTGCGCTCATGACATGTAGAAATATGAGATTCGCAATCCCAGAATACGAGCGGAGTATACCGAGAGCAAGAGCAGAAGACCGCCAGTGCAATCTTTTCCACCTTCGCAGAATTGGATTGTACAACACACGGCAACACAAGCTTTCTCGATGTAAGAACCATAGGTTTCTTTTCATGTAATCTACTTCGCCATTCACTAAATGTAAATTTCATTGTTCCGCTACACGATACATTTGTCAGAACTATTTGACTTTTTAACGCCGAAAACAGACTGCTAGGGCGTTGTTCAGGCTCTGAAGAAAGCGGGACGTGTAGAACGGTCGCGAGAAAGGTTTCATGTAGTGATGGTGGACTGGTCGATGCGGTGCTATACGGCCAGACGAGAAAAACTGAAGTTGATTTTGAAAGGAACAAATTTGGAACGAGGCGGAGACCATCCGAAACAGAAGCCATACTGTCATATCGTCATCAAGTGCAAAAAGATGCGCACGCGCAATCATTTACATTTTTAATAAAAGATAACATCTAAATGATTTAGATCTGATTTACCACCATTGTCACTACGATTGTTCGCATGTTTATCTATAGGCTATTTTGTGGAACCGTAAAAAGCCAATCGTCTTTACGGCTTGGCTAAGCAAATGTGCTTCCTATACGTTCTCATACAAGCGTACATCGGTCATCATATTGCGACTAATCTTTGTTCAAGAATGACAACACATTATCTTGGCACATTAACATCTTTACATATGTACATAGGTCGAACAGTGCAGTCGCCTATCGAAAAATACGACAATAACAAAAACAATGAATAAAGGTTGTCTGCCTTCACAGAGTAGCGCTCGTAACATCAGGCTAAATTACTTCAGCTCGCTAAAGCAGGCTGTTCAAGCAAGGGCAAGGTTCCGCGCGGACCAATTATTGAAGTAAACGCATAAGGACAAAGGTGCTCGAGGGAAGAGCAAGTTCCTAAAAGTGTGAGCCGTTCCAGTATATTCCATACTCATACCGGAGTTCCCTAAACAACTATTACCTAGTTTTGAGCAATTATTGTGCTTTGTTTCTATTGCTAAACATAATTGTGTAAGTCTTCTCTCTATAGGTAGGAAGACGTATGCAAATTTACAATCACAGCAACATCTACGGCTTCACAGTGTGACGCTGTTATGTACTCGTTGTTCTCGACGCGAAACAATGTGGCTGTGTAAGATATCTTCCTGACCACCTTAATAGGGTTGTAGCATATCGTCTGTTCGCCGGCATCCCAAAACGTCATCTCCATAAAGTCCGCTATAAATCATTGTATCAGACAGAGTAGTAGTTCCAGGATTAGCATAGAACAATCTAATGATCAACGTCACATGACGACGCAGCTGCGACAGTAAGGTGACGGCGAGTGCAACGATACTTACGTAAGCAAACAGACATCGACCGAGCCTCAATTTCATCCTATTGCGTGGCTGCTAAGCCATCGTAATGAACCTCATCGTCTCCTTGTTCATGTCATTCCTGCGATCCGGTGGTAATCCAGTCCAGTAGCAAAGTTTTAGGTGTGCAATTGTCGGACGCGAATGAGAGGCCGAACTGCGACCACTGCTACAGAGAGATTATTAGGACTCAGCTGGCGTTGTTTCACTTCCTCTAATCGCTCTGTTTATCCAAAAACACCGTGTTAAACCTTTGAGCCCCCCAGCCACTTTACTACTGTCCTATAGGCGACGCCATAGTTCCGTTTTATCGTTGCCAAAGGCCATAACATAGAAGATTCACTTCTGCGACACTCCGCCATCCACGGTTTCAATGTAACCCTCCTTCCGTGCGTTGCCTATTTCGAAAAGTCATGCTACTACTCCCGTTATAGAAGTCCGTGCAGCTGCGTATATGGTTCTACGAATGGCGCGAGTGCGAACGTACTCGGATGAGGAACGCGTGTCATAGGCCTGAATGATGTATTGGCTGAATTTCACCCGTGTAACCACATAGTGTAATCAGCATTAATATCACCTTCCTTACACGCAAAACTGGATGCCTTTACCACTTCTAGTTCATAGACCAAATTTGGTAAGGGGGCATTGATGGGGCGACAGTCTCCACCGTTTGCCTCCGATCGAATTCACCCTAGATCCGTTGTCCCTGCTCGCTTCAACCACCATTAACACTGACAGCACTGCCCGGCAAGCGGACGTGGCACAAATCTAAATGAATGAAAATATGTCCACAACTACCGTTGGTACTACCACGGCGGCCAATTCCCTACTGGTTGTGACCTCCTACTTAGTTGACAGCCTGACGGACGCCTCGTCAGCCCCCACTTATTCCACTACCTCTATATCCGTATTTTTGAACGATACTGAGGATCAACTTGATGGTGAAGGCTGTGCGATCACAACTGATATTGCGGATTGATAAAAGGACATTGGAATCACCTCATATGCAAATTCTTTCATGACAAAAAGTTTCCTCAGACTGCAAACTAACTACTACTGCGTCTTTACCGTTGATTGAAGGGTCTGAGGAAAACCATTCACTGTTCGCGCAATGTTTGTAGGTTTACCTAGACATTTATCCTAAATCTGTGGAGATAAGACTTATGGGCCGTTAACAGCTCTAGGTAAAGAATGCTATTTTGGAAACGCTTTTGCCTAAAATGGCTTTTATTGATTGACGGATATTGTACTACTGCGACAAACAAAAGATGCGTATTTGCAATTCATACGGTAATCTCATCTAGAAAATGATTTACTCTACTAGTAAAATAAAGTTGAGACATAATAATAAAAAAAAAAGCGTAACAATCATCTAGCAAGAACATAACATCTCTCATTTTTGCACTTATAAAATAAAGAGGGTAATCTTATTGTGTTATTAAAGCAAGGGTCTCTTGCTTCATAGACAGAAGCTATGTTGTTTTATCGGCCACGACATAAACCTGCTAGAATACATATACCGTGAACCTAAGGTGGTTGTAGGTGAGTATAAGTTTATCCTAATCGTCTATGTTGTAGATATCTAAAACGTAGAATTGGGACGCCACTTACCTGTGGTGGTAGTCGGTCTCGTAGTAGCGGGCACGAAGATGTGATAAATTTTACGTTGCGAAACTAACGTATGGTTGGGTCCGATTCGATTTGACGCTTCGCAGGCGTACTGCGCATCTTGGGTAGCGTTTATGGAGAGATATGAGTGCGAAAGCGATGGCTTGATATTCTTCAGCTGCAACAGAATTTGCAACAAAGGCCGTAAGTGACAGCGCCAATTTTACTCACAAAGGCGATAACGCTAACGACAGGACACAACAAAAGCTGCTTCACTGTAGCCCAGCCGTTCACAGTGGGTCTCACACTAACTCACTGGTATACGTCTTCACTTTGTTTAAAAGTACAGAATGTAAGAAAGTGCACCCTGTATATTACGCGTTTATTTAAGTATCGCACGATTGCCACGAACGACCAGAGTTTGTTGAACGTGATATATTATTTTGTTCAGTATAAACTTTGACGAACGGGCTTGCGGAGACAGTTATCAGATCCACCACAAAGTTTTGGAACACCACAGTTATTGTCTAGCTCATTTGATCCGGATCGCTTTCTTGCAAAACAATTGGCAGTACATCGGAGCTGTTCAACTGACATCAGCAACAAAAAGTTTATTACATGCTTGTACAGTTTGATATTAAAGTTCCCATGCGCGCATACCAGACGTTCGCCTTGCCACAAATAACAACGTTAACTCGCAAAGCAAAAGTTATTTCAAGTTGTACGGATGTTACAATAGCGTCTCAGCTAAGGACAGATGAATGACACGATCATGGGGAACTAGAAGTTTGCGATGATATGTTTTGTTCAAAAGCTATAAGGTATCAAAATGATATGTTCCGATAACATCTGCTAGACAAATGATCTACATCGGTGCTTTCCTCAGTGGCTAACACAATACTGAAAGCACGAGACTGCACAGCGGCGTATTAGTTTCAGGAGTAGCCGCTAGAGGCGCCAAAAATCCTTGCTTGAACCTCCCGCCGCTTCTGTGATGAGGATAGACTCCTTCCGTAGGATGTAGGGGGCGCCCTTGGTCAAACACGTGGAAAGCACGCGAGGCTCCTGTCGAAGTGTTTTGATCAGGTTTAGTTACCTGATACCGCAAGGGGCAGGCCGTGCAAAGACAGATTTGTGTTATTTGAAATAATATATAATATAAAATAGTTAAAGCAATAGTCAAGAATAACCGTGGTTACAGGACACAATATTGTATCCTATGACTAACCATTCAGTAGTTTTTGTAAAAACTTGTGTATCTTACAGTTAACAGTGGCTTATTTATCATGATTTATTAAGTTTCGATAAAATCCAAATGAAGAATTGTAACATCTGTGTCCCAAGTGGCAGACAGTAAGGGATTGAAAAAGATGGTATAAGATTTCACTAGTAATTTCTGCGTGAACGCTAGTAAAGCTTATTTCAGTGCTCAAAGAGCTTGTTTTATCTTATCAGCTCAACATGGGCCAAGTATCTAATCGTTACTCTTAAATGACATTTCGCGTACAATAGGATTTAATTAGGATAGTTTACGTGGATCGTTAAATAATTTTATTCCCCCGTCTAAATTTAAAGAATGTTACTTTGGGGCATACCACACGAAATTACTAGTTCGCTGTTTCACTGCGCCGGTGATTGTAGAACATTAATTTAAGTGTATAAGTTCGCACTTTGAAATCTCGTCGGGCATTCTTTAATTCAAACAAAACCAAACGATTGACACATTTCGTTTACAAAAATGCTAAATTGACGGTATTTTTATTTGGCACATGCGGGGTTGTCAGATCAAACACAGAGCCCTGCCTCACTACATTTTTTTGTGTGTTGTATTATATCCCCGTTGCGTAAATATGTAGCCAAATTCAAATTAAAGCTGTTGTGTATAGGACAGATTACTTATTAAACAAAAGAAAAATGTTTTTAATGATGAACAGAAAAATCTATTTTAAGCAGCGTGGTTCAGTCACACAGTCAAACAGTATTAAGAAAGTAATACTCATTGGCCTCGTTTTTCCCATTATTTGAATTTGTTTTCTGTGATACAAACAAATTCTGTGATACAGGCAAATTCACACTTTTCACAGCGCATGTAACTTTAATAGACGACCTCCGGAATCAGCAATTTATTTTTATCAATAAAACTGTTTTGAATAATTATCGAACTAGCTCTGATGTAGCTGCAAATATGTATTTAGTTCTTATCTGCTGTCGTATTTTTTACAATTGATGCTAAATTTGTTTATTTATTCAGTTACACCTATTGTGCAGTATATCATAGGCAATGCTTTTAGCTAAATTAAAAACACGGCAAGTCCTCATCTATTTAGTTAAAGTATTTCACGAACCCCAGCATTGCAGAAACTTCTCTTTTTTAATATCATGTATTTATTAATAGAGCGAATTTCCTCAATTATATATATATATATTGTTGAAACTAAAGTCGGACAAAAGGTGTCCTTTTTTAAATATACTGACTAAAAAACTGAACTCTATATGGACTATATCTTGTATTTCTAAGACAAGCGTGCTTTAACAGGAGATTCCCTTTAAAAACAAGTTCATCGGAGAAGACATTGTCCAGTTACCTTGTGCGATCAAAGTTTAATTGTTGATCTAGGTTTTATGTTTCTAAACTGCTTGTCATAACGTAATATTTTACAAGTTCTACACTGGAGAGACTGGAGTCATCGCATACAAAATGGTAATCACGTAGCACCTCGTCGCAACTCAGAACAAGTAAAAGTCTCGAGCTTCGAGCTAGGTTAGTATTATTATTAGTCATATATCATATAAGGAAAACGATAAACTTGTTTTATTGTTACTGCAAACTAAAATGAAAAATACCTTCTAAACTTTTTTAATCAAGTTACGACAATGGGATTTTAAGAGAGATTTGTGTGCAAAAAACGTGCTAATTTCAATTAAACTTTTTATTAGCAGAGGTAATTTCGACATTAATAAATTTTTATTAATAGATACTATTTTTTTTATATATTTATAGGTTCTAAAAAATAAAATAGTTAAAGAACTAAGTATTCTAATTTTTAGGATACGTCCGTTAAGTTACAAATACAGAAACTTCTTCAATAAAAAGGCATATATATATTTATATAATTTTTAAGGCTGTATCTGTAAACAGACATTTCAACAACATTTGAACGTGCTAGGTATGTCATTCCTGCTCACGTTTATTTAGCGTACACACTAAACCACTAACTAGTCCTCAGGTTACTTTGAATAGTAAGCGCGCGTCAAGCGACACTTATAGTTGTAAATTTGCTGAAATATCCCTCAGATACACTACATACAAGAAATTTTAATGGTATTCAATTTCGAACTGATGGCAGGCCAGATCTGTGAAAGCGCAAGGCTAAAATCAGACATAAAGTTCAAAAGCTGCAAAAAATTTTGAAAAATTTCTAAATTTCGAAGGACTAACTGTTAAAGCTAATCTGGACAACCTAACTCACAAGAGATATTATCTTCTCTGATGTAACCGCTGATTTTTGTATCGAAAATGCTTTTTCAAGCCATTTCGATTAAATCTAGCATAGGAAGAGACAGAGCATAGGATTGATCGGTTTGCATAATGTTTTCCCCGAATTTTTCAAAAGCCGCATGAAAAATAATGTTAGCCATCGCGTTCAAGCTAAACAAAAAAGTTTTCAATCATGGCGAGTGTTTAACTAACGCAGAAAGATTGGATAATAATTGATCTCCGTTGAAATTACGAAAACGACGTCCTGCTTCCTACCATCATGAATTTGCTGCTTTGTTCTAAAGAGAATTGACTTTCATCCGGTACGAGGAGCAATAGAGAAGCGCATGCCCGTTACGACAAGCGGCTCGTCGAAGTTCTTCTCAATCTAAACATACCACCCTGAATCTATTCATAATAAATAATGATAAATGAGGTTTCCTTTTGTTGCGTCGTTACTATATGTTAAACTGTGGCCGGTTAATTTAAATTTGGGCGGATTTGAACTATATGTGCTAGTGTGGACACACGCGAAGTCTCGAAAAACCGTAAGATGTCTTTGTTTTGAGATAAAATATATAGCGCAATTCAAATGAATCATTTTGTAAAAATTCACTTTTTGCTAGCTTTCAAATTTTTGTAATAACAGATATCTTTAGGGCAATATGGTAGATATGCTAGCAGCATCGGTGTATCCCAATACATGGTATAGGCCCCTGACACGAGCAGATTCTATAGAAAGGAGCAGCGAAAAGAATTTATACCTTAAGTTAGCTCATGCTTTGACCGCAAACATGTGCCATTAACAATGTTAAATGCAACATTTCATCATAATTTGTGTTACCATAAAACTGGAGCCTCTGCTATGTAAATTGGTCCGGTTCGTTATAAAAGCAGAGTAAATTTCAAAAAAACGAAGAACTGGGACATGAAAAGGGCATACTCTGTTAGAATAAGTGCGAGTGTATACTTTAATTAAAATTAAGAAACTACCCCTAATAATAGCATCCGTAGAAATCTAGAGCTACATTTAACGAATTTCTACTTTTGACGACCTACTACATATTCTTCTGCTAAAAGCTCTGTATAAACAGTAAGTTTTCAAATAGTGTAAAAAAGCGAGAGCGCTTGTACGTCTCATGGGCTTAGTAGTGGTTTCTAGTGATTATTAAACAAAAAAAGTTGATTTTCATAAAAACATTTTCAAGCATATCTTTTAAGTCTTTACAGATCTTGCACTGGCTAAATCGAGCAACTTAAAGAAAAGTTACAAGCTTCCTGTTCAATTAATGGAGTAGACGATGAACCGTCATATTTCTGAAAATCGACGGTTTCTGAGGGTCGGATCTGTAGAATAAGCAATCACTAGATAAGTAGTCAGCGGCGCCGCTGTGTGGATGGAAAGACACCAAAAACGTAATACGCAGGAAACAACGATACGGACCATTCAGACATCATTGGCGACTGACACTAACTATCCGTATTCTTCGACTGTTATCCTTCGACGTTCAACGAGCGTCCTTTTAACCGCCCAGTAACTGAGCCCAATAACTGCACACTGCAAATATACAGTTATTGGGCTTTATATCGCATCTCCGTATTTCTTCTATACTATATTATATGAATGCGTGTGTAATACTGAATATATACTGACCTGTTTCCTAAGCGTGTAAAAAGGCCATTACTCATTTGCGGTCAAA